TAGAGAAATGGATGATGTAATAAGTACATTCACAGTGGAGTAGTACATTTCCATTTGTTAATAATTATCTTATATTATATTATAGTAGATACCATCTTTAAACGAGAAGATTGATAAGCATGGCAATTTATGGTCACCAGAATTTAAAATATACAGCAAGAAAATGTACCTGTCGTTGTGAAATTCCACAAGTCTGTGCAACATCCTGAATCCATGACTCAGCAATCATCATTCCCTATAAGGCCAAGGCAATACAAGCAAATACTTAGAACATGCAATTCCTTTTACAGCCTACGAGTTTTCATTAATAACACTAACATTCTGGAGCTGTATATGATCGTACTTACTTGGGGACCACCAAATCCTCTGAATGCTGTGTTGGAAGGGATGTTGGTCTTGCAGCACCAGCCTTCTACTCGAATGTTGGGTATTCGGTAACAGTTTTCAGAGTGAAACAGAGCACGGTCCATGACCTTTAAGAAAACAAGCAAAAGTAAAGTAAAAAAAATGGAATGATATTATGGTAGTGTTGATGACTATTCAGCCTTATGACATTGATCTATGTGACACTGATGACTCACTGCACGAGAAAGATCAAGTGAATAGCCAGCATTATTGTACAGCTTGACATCCAGTGCCTGTATGCTACCATCCTTCTTGAATCCAACCTGCAGAGGCAAATAATTTATAAGACGTGCATTTGAGAAGAGTTTCAATCAAACAATGGAAAAATACGCTACTCTTGTTGGAGTTCATTGCATATCATACCCATTATTAATGGTCATTTGGAGAAGCAGCTATAAATAACGTCGTACTAATATTATTACTTCATACCTTATATTTTGCTAGAAAAGCATGCCTTGTTCCTGTATTCTTCATGTCTTCATCTCGATCCAGCATGCAGCGCACCGGACGACCCACCCTTTACAAAAAAAGCTACTTTTTATGTGCCACTTTTGAAGTTAACAATATTCTTACTTGCCCTAAAGTTTACTATAAAGTACTGACATGGCAAGCTATTCAATCTCTATATAATAACTAAAGTTCAATTTCGAACATATATCTATCTATCATAGTCATCAGCCTTCCCAGTTATATCAAAATCGTCAGGCACATCCGTCAGGTATATCCCATTCCGTGTCGATATAACGGCAATTGTCCTTTTGCTCAAAGTAAGAATTTTAATCAATCAAAATCTGTAAATTAATTATCCACCAATGAAACACAACAAGCTTCTTGTAAGATTCCTCACTTAAGCAATTCTAAAGGTTTTTAAGGAGGGTTATTCCACTTTTCAAGAGTTATATACACCTTATAACCTTAATCAGTGATAATCAGTGATACCATGATGAGCAAACACTGCATAATGAGCATGGAATTTGGATTCTAAAAATAACAATACTACTAATACTGTCATTTTTCACCTATTTTAACGATCAGTGAGTATATCAGGTCATCCTGGTTCTTAGTACGAAAATCACCAAACTGTGGAACAGGCTCGAGTTTTCTTATGACGATCACGCTTACTCACCCATTTTCAATGATAACTTACGAACATTCCACGTGTAGTCTTTAGTAATAATGCCGACATTGTGGCTCATTTTTGATCACATACACACGGAATGTTTGGGGAATCATACAAAAGTGGGCGCGGCTGTCATAAGAAAACTTGGGCCTATTCCACAGTTAAGTGATTTTCATAGTACAGTCAGTTCTGATAAAGTTTTCTTTTATTTAACGTGAATTAGAACAGATTAAACATACATGTAACTTACTTGTTGGCAGCAACAGCAACAGCAGCCAGTAGAGGCGAAAAACGAGTTTCCTTACCACCAAATCCGCCACCTGTCAATAAACGAAACAAAAGGTCCTCTTATCTTGCATTCAGAACTTATGGTTTTGGCCACACGAAAACCAACAAATCATTATATTCTCCACTGATGATGCAAATGACTGTAAAGCGCTGATATTCACTATGCAGTTGCTTGTCGGCTGTTTTCTCTGTCTAGGTAAGTTTAGGAGGGAAAACATAACAATATTCCCTCTCATTCCCTGAAACATCAAAATAACGTCTTACCCAGCCTCTTGGTCCGCATAAGAATTCGACTAGCTGGAACTCCAAGACTCTTGGCAACTAAAAACTAGATGTGGAAATAAAGGCCCAGAGTTATTTAATATATTTGAATGACTGAACAAAATATAAGGTTAGTGACCTTGAACAAGCAATTACTAGATCTAAACAACAAAAAAGTTATAGGATAATAATAATAATAAATACTAATAAATAAATTAAATAGTATTTAGCAGTGGCATTTCCACAGAGTGGCTCTTCATCCACTGTAATTCCAATTGGAATTTTTTAGAAGTTGATTTTTGCAGAGGGAGGAAAACCAGAGAACCCCAAAAATCCTCAAAGTACAGGAGAAAACCAACAAACAACTCTACTCACATGTGACAATGAGCCCGGCAGGACTCGAGACCAGGTCACATTGATGAGAGGTGAGCGCTCTCACTGCTACGCCACCCATGAAAACCATCAACTCAGATTGCACAGATTAAGTTGAAACAAAAAGTAGTAAACAAACGAACTAACATACAAATGAATTGATGATCGAGTGTGTAACCATCTTAGCACTCATAAATGATATAATCCATTTTCCCTCTCCTCTAATTTAGGTAAGAATCAGTCATATCAGTCATTCAGGCACTAAATAAGAGTACAGGTGTAAGTGTTCACATGTCTACAACTGTATCAGAAAATGTACTTTTTAGACATCTATGTAGCTTTGATTTATTACCTGTCCAGTTGATGGGCTTTGACACGAACTGAATATCTCCATTTCTCCATCTTCTCCTTTTGGAACAGCCAAGGTTGCTTGAGTCTCCAAATAGAAATGTTCCTAAACAAAAAGCAATGGAATCAGAGAAAAAGCGGAGTACAACAACTACTGGTCACCCTGTGGTGTACAAACCTGGGCGCCTGTCCTCATCTCGCCTTCAATCACATGGTCGGACTGCACAAAACCCTTCTCGAGGTCTCCATTTTCTATCTTCATGCTTGGTTCAAAAAATGATTTGGCTTCGATAGCTTCCTGTTGACAAAAATAAAAACAATAAGTGCTTACTGCAAAACAATAAAAAGTCATAACATTTGGTAAAAAGCTGACTTTAATAATTTATCATTCATGAGATTGCTAGTTAATTTATGTGTGTTTTTATGCTGGTTCTGTACTTTTACGACTCTCTAGATTTCCATCTCCAGAAGATTCAAGCGGCCATGTTACATGCTGCATGGTATAAGTAGTTATTTATGTGTTACTCGAAATTTAATTTTCAAATTGAGTTGCATGAATCAATCAATCAGATATTCTGATTTATTAGTGTCAACTAATAACTAACAGTGTTTTACATACCTCAATGGTCAAGATCCTTGGTAGATCCTCATACTCAATCTTCACGGCCTTAGCAGCACGTTGGGCCTGGGCTTGAGTTTCTGCTACAATAGCACCAATCACCTGTCCTGTTGACGTCACCTGGAAGGTAAGAAAATACAAGGAATAGTATTCAGAATCAATTCTTTTGGCTAAGAATAGATAGGTACTGGAAATGGAAAGTTTACCTCTTCATTGTAAAAGACCAGTTCGTCAGCAACTGCAATTCCAAAGTGGTTAGAGCCTGGTACGTCATCAGCACAGACATAAGCATGAACACCAGGCATCATGGTTGCTTCACTTGTATCCACTGATCTATGATGTGATGTGTTGTGAAAAGTTAAACATTGAATTTGGACACAAGGGAATATTCTGTTAATAAGCGATTTCTGCTGTAAACAGACTAATCAACTTACAAGACTTTTGCATGGGCTCGCTGGCTCAATACAAGACACAAGTATAACTCATCTGTAGATAAAATATTAAGGAAAAGTTATAGCATTGATGTAAAATCATAATTGCATAATTGGAAAAAAGGCAGTAATCCACTTATAATGCATACCTTTACTGCAATGTAACAAGTCATAAACATAACATGAACAGTTGGAAAAGCACAATGGGCATGCATGTATGCAGTAATGCAGTAATATTATGCAGTGATTGTGTTCTTGTTTGCTGTGAGCTTGCAATTATTACTATACATTGACTACATGACAAGTATACCTGCATATTTAGGCATATCATCAACGTATACAGCTTCTCCTGTTGCTTGCTTCAGTGCAGATAAATGAGTTATTGGTCGACCAACAACGTCATCTTTTGACTGATCAGCTGGGACTTCCTACAATACAATCAAGACTGGGTCGGTGTCCACTGGTAGAACGAAGCTTGGGATTGGACAAAATAACAAAAACAAAGAAAGCATGGATTATGGTGAACACACATGTGAGCTGCGTTCTTTGCTTTATCTCACCATTCATTGTTTGTTCATCCACTCCCAGGCTTCGTTCTGCCTGTTGTGTGTTACCCTCAAGACTGGTAATAAGCCGGCTTCCACTCTCCTGAGCATTCTCAAGTATTTTGATTGGAAAAATTCGATGACTTGATCTATCAGTTCCTACCTGAAAAGTTTGAATGCTTCTTGAGGAAACTTTCTGGTGGAATTTTGTAGCACTTTGGTATGCCTCAGGTAAAGGAGTAACATTGTGGCTCTGAAAACAGGCATTCTTTTAGAATTATATGCTTGATATATAATGCAGTTAATAATATCCAAATTTTCCAAATTCATTTTCTATAAATCAATCTTTTTTTTTTTTCTTACCTGAATTTGGCTGAGTTTGTGAGTGACCATGAGATAGAACTTGAAGAAGAAACTGGTGGTCAAAGAACGTCGATAACTGACTTGTCCTCCTGGTGCATTTGCTGCTAGTGGTAAATCTTGTTCCAGTAAACTACAACCAAACTCAACTATACTCTCATCCCAAACCCTACACAACAGTCAACATAATCAGTGGTTAGAAATCTTTTGTGAATATAATAACCATTTCCTGAAGCCTTGTCTTTTTAAAATAAACTTTCCATCCAAAATCATAACAGTCTTTGATTGATGGAAGTTAAAAATCTAGCGTTCTTGAATACTTAAAAACGATATTTGGATATTGAATTCAAAATAAAGAAGATGTTTTGAGGTCTTTTATTCTAAGTTCTTGAATAGTAAATAAAATATTTGTTTTCAATAAATTTGGAAACATAAAGTTGTATTACTAATAATAACCTACCTCCCAATGAGTGCTTTAGATGTCTTCAAGGCCATGACAGTAGTTGGTGCCATTCCACCATAACACAGACTACATTCCTTTATCATTAACAAATTAGTGACGTCATTCTTCTCTAGCCTCACTCTCATGCCAGCATTCACGATGGCAATGTCGTCATCACGACGTCGAGCTTGTTTATAGGCAAACATGTACTCATTCTGGAAAAAAGGAAATCCTGGTAATGTTAGGACAGTATGATAGTGAAACCAAAGTAGGAGAAGAGGTTAGAATACCTGACGGGTGTGAGGTATGTGGATGGATATCAAAACCTCGTTGGGTTCAAGGCATGTTTTTCTGTAACCACGGAAAAAATGTTCATCAAACTTGATCTCTCTTTGTTTTCCTGGAAGAARTATAAAGCAAAWTGCAGGTAACTACTACTAGTTGATGTGTACAAACTGATCATAGTTAACAATCCATCTAAACAACAGTCAGTACTCTATTTATACTATTTACTATCAACAAATTGCCATTTTGTTTGTATTCCTTGTTTTATTCTAAGAATAAATAGCAGTCAGTGACTGACGTACCACCAATTGATGCTACGGTAAGAGTACATCCTATTGACATGAAGATAGGATTGAGATCTGATATTGGACTTGCTGTTATGATGTTACCACCAACACACTGAAAAAAGCATAATATATTATTATTATTAACAGTATTTAAATAAAAAATATATTGGTCTTTCAGAATGTCTGTTTGAAAAGCTACCACCTGCCAGTCAGCTGGTAAGTTGGCCAGTCATGTGGTCAGTCAGTCGGCCAGTCAGTTGATCAGACAATCAATCAGTTGGCCAGTGGGTTGCTCGGTCGGTCATGCCTCATTCAGTTGGTCAATCAGTTGGTCAGTTACTTGGTTAGTTGATCAATTGGTCAGTCAGTCAGTCAGTCAGTTGGTCAGTCAGTCAGTTGGTCAGTCAGTCTGTCAGTCTGTCAGTACAATACT